TTCTGAATCATTATATTTTACTGGAATTGTTTGCTCACCCCTGATCTGCTCCATAAAATTGAGCCAATGTTGACTTTTCTTGATTTGATACAAACCTGGTATAATCCACTGAACTTCCCACCTTTTGTTTCCTTTAGTCTTTCATGTATTTGGGCATCATTGGTAATATCAGCATGTGTTCCCTAATTGTCCCTGAACTAAGTGGCCTGCTAGGGCATTTAAGAATCAATCACATTACTGCTGGTTTGGAGTCACATTTGGTCAGACTAGGTGCAGATGTCACATTTCCTTCCCTAACGGGCATTAATGAACCAGATGGGGTTTTGTTACAATAATCATCATCATTGCGACCAGATTTGTTCATTGAATTTGCATTCCAACAGCTGCCTTGTTGGGATTTTAACCCCTGGTCTCAGAGCATTAACCTGAATTTCTGGATTACTGGTCCAGTGACAGTCTCATGATACCACCATCTCTCCTATCAAAGATGAGCATTTCAAAGTGAGTGTAAAACAAACCATACTCACTCTGTTATGTAAATGTTGTTCCTTCCTATGTCTGTTAGAATAAATAGTAGAATGGGGAGTACCTTAATTCTTGCATTACTCATGCTGAAATATTTTAAGTTCCGTAAATGAGCTGATTTTACTCTGGCTGTGTCTTGTAAAGGAATTCAGTTCACAAATCATACATGCTTCATATGGGATTTAAGGCCCCAGATTAAATTCACAATGAGAAGTACTGAATCATGTAAAAATCTAATTATGACTATATGTGTCTTAATTTTAAACCTAAAACAGCTATAGTGTTCTAGAACAAGAATCAAAATTAATGGTAGGTGCTAAAATGTTTAAAGTCACTGAATGAAACTGTGAAGTAATCAATGTTTTTTTGGAAGAGGAGAAGTGAATGCTACCCAATCCTTCCAGGAAATAAATCCAGGACTTAGGTATTACCATTCCTTTCACAAACATCTAAAGCTGAAAAATTATCAGTTTGTACATCTTTGATTCATGCCCCTGCAGGCAAGTGATGGAACATTGACTTTATCGACAATTTAAATTACAATATGTGTCCACTGTCCTCTCAGTGCAAATCATTGTCTTCTTATGTCACTGACTACTTCCAGGGCTGCTTTTCAGTGGTTAGATGCTTTAGGAATTAATCCAGCTTTTTTGAAATGTTGGTAAGTTCTTACTTGATTTCTCAGTTGGTGGACATACAACCTGATTTCAGTTAAAGCAGTTTTTGACATTTTAGAGCTTAATTTTAAGTTGAAACTCAAACTTGAGAGAAATGAGCTATTTTAGTTCATCGGATTTCTCTGTCTTTATTGTGATGATGACAGACAACACTGTGTAATTCATATGGTCATTATTTGTCTTCACTGTCATCACAAACCAATGCTTTTACAATACCAATACAAATGGTTATGATTATAGAGCATCCAACTGAAAGTTCAGGTAACAAGCACATCATTTATTATCTGTAAATTCAATAATCATTGGGAATTAATCAGACATAATGTAATTTACTTTTAGCAACTCATGACCTGAACTGATATGTGCTCATAATTCCCTTCATTTGTATATTAACAGGAGTAAAGACCTAATAGAGAAAACGATTGATTGTACAAAGAATTGTCCTTTATCATTGCAGGAATTTTTAATTCAGTGTTATTGCAATTCCCTATTGATTAAGATTGCAGAGTAATTAGAGAAAATGGCAAAGTCCAAACTTTACGGCTGTAATGACAGTGAAATGGTCAGTGTTCACCATTGTTACTCTTGTGAAACTTACAGTGACTTCTGAAATCCACATAGGCACAGTTACATGAGGAAATCCAAGATGTTGTCATCAGTGATTCTGCAATTCTTCACAGGGCAAGCTGTTGAAGTCCCCGCAGACAGAACTCAAGGAGAAATAATTGACCAATCAAAAAAATGTCCTTAAATACTAATAATCTTGGTGTAAAACTCTAGGAAAAGATTAAATTTTCATGTATGATGTAAAACTGTTTTTTTCAAAGATGTAATAAGTTAACACCACTCCTAAACAAAACTTTTCTCCCCATTGAAAGCTAATTTTCTAATGGTGAAATGTCAACATCATGATAAAAGTACTTATTTTTAAGAGTTTGTTTGTGGAATTTCAGCTTCTGTCTTGATCCCATAAACCCAGCCAATTATTTCATTCTGTATACAATGTATTTAAAGTGAATTATAATCAGTGCTTTTTGTTTCCTAGTTAGCTGTCTAAAAGAATACTTCAATCTGATTGGTTGCTCACTTTGTTTAATAATAACATTTTTGCTGAGTGCTGGTGATACTGGTGTTTGAATCAGGAAAGGGGAAATTCATGCCACAGAGATTATTAGATCCTTGTGGCTAATTATTTTCAAGGTCAGTGGTGAGTGCCATTGATATGTACTGCCACAAAATTTAATCTCAAATGCTAGACCTGTAATTTTCTCCCCATCGCCATTCCCATCACATCTCGCTCTTTATTCTTCTCATCTCCTTCATCTCTTATAAAGCTGCCAAAACTGATGGAATGAAGTTGGGTGGCATGGTGGCTATCACTGCTGCCTCACAGTGCCAGGGACCTGGGTTCAATTCTCAGCCTTGGGTGACTGTGTGTATGGAGTTTGCATGTTCTCCCTGTGTCTATATGGGTTTCCTCCTATAGTCCAAAGATAGGTGGATTGGCCATGGTAAATTATCTGTAGTGTCCAGGCATATTCAATTTTGGTGGATTAGCCATGATAAATGATGTGGAGTTATAGGGATAGGACAGGACTCTGGGTCTGGGTGGGATGCTCTTCAGAGGATCAGTGTGGGATTGATGGGCCAAATGGCCTCTTTTTGCACTGTAGGGATTCTATGAAATGTTGATAATCTTTGAATGTCATTTCAGAAAATTATGTGTATTCATTTTTATTTTGACAGAAATCCAACTTATTTTAACATGTTTGTTTTGGTTACAGAGGAGGAATGATTCAGACAAGTGAACAGTATGGATTTGTACACCATGCTCTAAGCCTTTATGAGAGCACAATCTCAGCAGACACTAGACAGTAAATCTGTCTTCATTCATGAAAACCTTTGATCCTAAGTTACATGGAAATAAGGTAAATTATCTCTTGAAGGTAATGAAACATATTACTTAGAGAAACAAGAACAAGAATCGCCTCCAGTAGAAAGGTGATACATGGTAAACGCAGAAGCTAGTCACAACACAACAGGAAAAAAAATGTTTGCTGGATTGATTAAAGATACCCGAATGAATGTTGTGTATATTTTCCTAAATTCTGTTATAGGAAAATGCAGCTAACTGACTTTATGTGAAATATTATCTGTGTCTAATTAAAGCCTTTTTTATGTTAAGTTCAGTTAAACAATACTTGCAAACCCAATGGTCTATGAAAAGCAGTGCCTGTTGAACTTGCTTTGAGAGATAAAGAGTTTGGGTAGAAGTGTAACACTGAACCCTTTATCAATTGTTTCTGTATTTTGAACTCTTGCACACAACTCTTGATGTGAGTTATTAATATATACATGTGAAAATGCTATTTCATAAGTGGTGAATTTTATTTCTTTACCACATTATTGTCTTGCTGCTGAAATGCACAAGTGTTTTATTCATGAATTTTAAATAACTGTTCAATTCTGGAATATTTTAAAACTCTCTAAATGTTTTGTATGCAATGTAGATGCAGGTTTTTATTTGTGACATGGTGTTAAATTGTATGCATATTTATAATCCTAACTAGCAATCAAGATGCACAATGTTAAACAATCACTATATGTATTCTTATGTCTATGACAATGTATTTGTATTGGGGTTGTCTAAATGTACAAGCTTCTTAGATATTAAGCAAATCCCTGTGATTAACACTTACAGGATCTCTCTCGCTCTCTCTCTCTCTGTCTCATGTTGTGAATTAGTATCAATATTTTGTTTCTTCTGGCAGACAAGAAGTGCAATGTGGAACTGTATGGAATGTATAATGAGAATGGAAGCTTAAAAATATGAAGCATTGACTTAGCTTTATTCTATATGCAGCTACATGGTATATGTTCCATTTGATGAGACATATTTTAAATTCCTTTTTTGTCATGTGCAGGAAATTGTTTACATTAATAAGTTGTTTACAGAAAGCAGTGCAGAATCTGCACAGGATAATTTGTGTTTTTGTTCAGCCCTGTTAAATTTTGTGTATGATGACAATAAATGCAATGAATTTTTGAAATCTTGTTCTTGAATATATATTTTAATAAGAAACCAAATATCTGGAGCTAGAGTGAATTACAATGATGTGTTCTTACTCCCATCATTAATTTCAATTAATGCATACATCTAACTATACTATGTCAGTGCTAAGCAACAGGAATTAGGGTGGTTGAGGCAGGAATCCTCAAGACCTTTAAGAAATATTTAGATTAATACTTGAAACACCACAGTCCCCAAGACTACAAACCAGGTGCTGGATGATGGGATTAGAGTAAATGGATGTTTGATGACCAGCATCGACATATGGGCCAAATGGTCTTTTTCCATGCTGTAAAAACTCTATGACTCTGAACTAGAGTCAATCCCCCAACCCAATTTATTGCAAACTCTTTAAATATACCATAGAAGGTAATTAGTTTTCTATCAATGAGTGTTCTAGTATGAAAATGCTATTTTAAAAAAAATACTGTTGGCTCTTATGAGCGCAGTTCTATTTCCATTTTAAGAAAGTGGTGCATTGGGTCCTACGTTTAATAATACCTGTCACTGCACAAATCGTCAGAAAAATTGCCATTTGATTTAAATGCCTGTCTTTAAAGAGCTGAGGATCTAACTTGTAACTAATGCCAACAGGTCTTCCACAACAATTTGTTTATAAAATATTCCAACTGTGCAATTTGAGAGTACTGACTTCAACATGCAAAAGGAGCGTGGGTTTATCCAGCAATTGTGCAGTTGGAGTAGTTTGTTGATTTCTATGCTAACAGACATATGATCAGAGAGAACAGATTGCACAAAAATACCACAATCGCGACATAGCCGAAATTGGGATAGAACTAATCAACTTTGACACTCTCATCACAGTTAACCAAATCCGAGATGGCCTCGCCATGTGTGACCATGAGGGTTAGGATGATTTCCGAGAAGTCGCACAATATGACACTCTGGCATGAAGGATTCAAAAGAGATTGAATAGGAGGAAGTGGTCGTCACTAACTTTTTTTTCCCCCTGAAGACACATTTCCTTTCGACGCTTAGCTTCAGCGATCTGTGCTGAGGGTAGCATGTAACCTAGTTACAAGAATATCGTAAAAATGGATAGTCCTCTCTTCATGGTTTTTACGTTTACGCTACTGGCTTTATCTGGTAAGTGGATTAAACTCAGCAGTGCTCAATAGCTGTATAGGAATCTGTGTTCCTTATTCCATGTTAATCCTTGCCAGCAGTCCAGGTCCAACCGCAGTTTCTTAAAAAAAAAAGGAACGAACGGAAATGAGTTTTTTTTTATTGTACACAACTGTACGCTGTAACAGAGCCGGCACCTCTAACACATTGTGAGATAGTTTGCAGTCTTTTGGTCCCAGTTTGTAACAAAGTTGTTAGATTTGGTGGAATAAATTTAAACATAATACCGATGTCTTCCGGTTCCGATCTGGATTGGTTCTGACCGGTAGCCTCTGGGCACTGCGGCCACTTGTATAATCATTGAATATAATTAGAGGCTACAGCAGCTTCAGTGGTTTGGGGGCGGGGGAGGGGGTGAAGAAAGTGGAACAGAGGCAATCAACTAGCCGAAAGAATAGCCCCCTCGCCCTCCCCCCATCTCCCAAACAACCACGGGGTACACATCTGGTTGGTTTGGTGTTCATCCCGGTGGCTTTGAGCTTAATGTGAAGGTTAATGATGTGCAATTGTTTCCAACCATTCCAAGTTAAATATAGGGGTGGGGGCATGTGTTTTCTGTCAATTCGGGATCGAAGCTTAACGGAATGGTCTCGATAGAGGCCAGAGTGATGGAACTGCTGTCGAGAGGTTTTCCTTGTATTGGTCTGTCTGTGCAGCTGGTGCAGTGAAGACACTGAATTGTTTTTGAAATAATATCCAGATACAGACTGTAACAATTTAATGTCCAAATATTGATTGCAACGAATTAGTGTTCAAATACAGATTGTTACAATGTTCAAATACAGATTGTAACAATGTAATGTCCAGCTACAGATTGCAACAATGTAATGTCCAAATATAGATTGAATTGCAGCTGTGTAAGGGAGAGAAGATACCTTCCTTGATGACTGATTTCTGACACTGTAACCATGTGTTTTAACTGGTTTATGTATAGGTATGTTGGTCCTTCTCCCGACAGACGGATTCCTGATCCTCCATGCTGGCAAGGAACAGTGCCTGCTGGGCAAAAACCTGACGGTGTTGGTTGGCCCATGCAAACTGACCAGCCCGTCGCAACAGTGGCAGTGGACGGAGCAGAGGAAGCTGCGCCTCCGGCAGGTAGACCCGAAGGTAGACCGGTGCCTGGCTACGGTCAACACGACTCGGCGGCAGTTCCGCAACCTGGCGCTGCAAGAGTGTGCCCAGGCGCCTCGCTGGGAGTGCGAGGATGAGCTGCCGGGCAGCCTCGGGGTCGCCCATCCCAGAATGTTCCTCAAGAAGTGGGGCTACTTGGCGGTGGTGACGGCCGAGACGAAGTACCATGACAGCTGGCTCAAGTACGAGCTCGGGGAGCGTGGGGAGCCCGTTAAACTCAGCTTGTGCTCAACACAAGGTGAGACGTCCCGTAGAACGGGCCAGTAAATATGTGAAGTTGCCACATTCCTCAAATCTGCCGGGTTATCTATCAGGAAATGGTGCCACGGGCCCATTTTATACAGCAACAATCTGACGTCTCAATACAATGCATCATCTCTAAGTGTGGGCCTATCAATTAAAAAAAAAGTTAAATCTCCCAGGAAATAATTACTTACAAGGTTAGAATTTACCAATGAATAAAACGGAAGTCGCAGGTAAACTAATTTGGAGAGGGGGAGCACTCCTATTGTTTGCTGGGACCTGAACATCACATTGACCTTAAAATATGGAGTTCCTTATAGCTTTCTGAGGAATCCCCTTGGAAAAGCTACTAGGATGTTTTAAAAATTCTATCTCAAGGCTAAACGCACTTCATATAAGAAAGATAGGAAGAGTAGGCCGAGATTTTCACCTCAATAGTGTCATCTCATCCTTCAGCTGCACCACAACCGAGAGTGTAGTAGTGGTTAGAGACCACAAGGGTACACAGATTGGAGAAAGAACTCACAGCCAAAAGAGATAACAAGGTGTAGAGCTGGATGAACACAGCAGGCCAAGCAGCATCAGAGGAGCAGGAAGGCTGACGTTTCGGAAGGGTCCCAACCCAAAACGTCAG